ACTCTGAAAGTTTCAGGAACAAAGATTCTCTCTCTTTTTTATCCATTTCTATAAAAACCTGTCTGAAAATGAGCTGATCAGATCTTGGCCACTTGAGGATGTCATAACGATGTTTTGTCTTGGGTAACCCCCCCCTTATCACCTGAATCTCCTCCTAGAGCACCATTGAGTTCTTTGTAACCAAATGTCTCTCAGAGGGGCGTGGGGAGGGGCTCCTTATTTTCATCTAAATTAACAGACAGAGAATCAGCACTTTGGAAACAGGGCTGAAACAGAGGGGATTATGTGTAATGCGCAATGATCTGTTTGGGGTTTGGAGCAAAATACTTCTGAGACATGTGTTGTATATATCTGAGAGCTATAATATATTAATGAAAAACAGTATAATAGGAGACCTTTAAGTACAAATACAAAAGTATTTTGATAAAAACACAATTAATGTAAAAAAAGTAAAAGATGTAACTGTGTACAACGGCTAAACCATGAAAAGGAATCCCCCTCAGATCACCCCTCACTGTCCAAGCAACTCAGAGAAGTACAGTGGCCTTTAGGTCACAAAAAAACAAACACAAAAAGCCCTCGAGAGCCAGAGTTTGGTCTGTCCTCTCTAGTCTACTGTAAGAATGTGAGTCACTGACCAGGCCCCTCCTCTGTGCTGCTGCCCAATCTGAGGGAAGAGACTGAGGGGAGGTGGAGCTCTCACTCCCCCCTCTCCTCTCCGGGACTCCAAGCAAAGACTGCTGGGAGACTGAAGAGCCAGATTCCTCCACATATGAGCCTTCACTGTCTGAAGACCAACAAAGACGACGAAAGACTATTAGCATGCTGCAGTCTTCTGATTTGACCTTTTTGGACTGTTCAAAAGGGTGTTGTTTACAGTACCTGTGGTTCTGCCAACAGTGCTGAGGGAGATGTTCAGCTCCCGTGTGTATTTGTCTATGATGTGCTGGATGCTGCTGTCATTAAAGAGAGAGCCTACAGAAAGGGCAGGACGGTCTGCAGGGGAGCTGTCCTTAAAGCAGCAGACGCTCTGAACAGGTGGCGAGAACACATGGAGCGAATCTGCTCCACGCTCCGGTTCTACACACCGTCTGAGCAGCGGGCATTCATCTAAAGAAGAAGTGGGAGAGGAAAAGAAGGAGAACAGATTTACGCCTCATAACAAGTTATAAAACACAACATCATTCATTTCACAAGTTAAACTAGAATGACAGGTATAATCATGAGCCATAAAAGAGAGATGTGAAATGGAACACCCCAATAAGCCTTAGGAAGCTTGAGAACAGGGTTCCAGCTGTACACATTTTTAATTATTCAATTATATATCATTTCAATCATATGGAATTGAGATAGTTCACGTATTATTCCGAAACATTACAAACCAAAATCATATGCCACACTGCATTTCAGAGGGAAGCTAAATTGTCGAAGTCCACAGCCATTCAGCTTCAATAATCTCTGACATTCGCTGGAAGCACTTTTTAAAAGACAGAGACATTTGTATCTCTCTGCAGATCACACTAGAGCTTGTACATTTAAGATTGCGCTTTTGGTTCTCATAAAATCCTTATTCCTAGTTTGCATGCAAGGGTTAAAGAGTTGGGATGAGGTCACACGGTCTATGGTTTAGCACATTTCCTACTTTATACATGAAACAGCAGTGTTTCCCATACATTTATTTATGGCGGGCCGCTACAATTACAAATGGATCTAAAAAAAAAATAAAAATCTTTTTTTTATTTTTTTTTGCGGTCTAATGGATAGTGAGGTGGGCTGATGATCGGAAGGTTGCGAGTTCAAATCCTGCCTGGAACACCACTACTAGTGTGCCCTTGAGCAAGGCACTTAGCCCCCAGTTACTCCAGGGAGAATGTCCCTGTATTTGGTCATTGTAAGTCGCTTTGAAATAAGGCGTCTGCTAAATTGTAAATTATATTTTTGGGAGAATAAACCCCACAGATCCTCAACTCCGGCGTGTTTCACTCATTAACAACGCAACACAGAGCAACAAGAACGTTGGGGGAGGGGGGGGGGTTGCGGTGCACCCACAAATAGAATCAAATTCCGTGGGAAACACTGAACAGGCATTGTGATAGATATTGCATTCAGAGAGCAAAGCAGCCAGCCACCTGGTGTGTGTACATCACTCATAATTTGGACCGCAGCAGCTCATACACTTATTATATTGCTTCATATTTGGACTGACCCAAGCAGATTCTCTAGTGGATAATGAAGAGCCAGACAGATCTTTCTAGTAAGGCCATTTCAATTCTTCATCTTTTCCAATCAGATTTTCTAAATTAGATTTGGCAAAGAGGTAAAAACCCCTCATTAAAACATGACAAAAGACCCTCACCAGTGCTTCTGTTCTGCTCAGGGTCGGTGGAGATGTAGCTTCCTGTGGAGATTGTGGTGGAGGAGAGGCAGTCAGAATCAGGAGGCCTATTTGCAGACTGACAAAATCATAAAGGCACCCAAAATGAATATGTTAAAGTGATCAACAAGGGATTGAATCAAAAACACAGCACACAGACTCACTGAGCTCAGTTCAAGTGTAGAAACCATCATGACCGCATTTCATTCAATACAATTCTGGTTGGGTCATTTTACATCATCGCTCACAAACAGAACAACACATTCATATATGAACACGTATAGTTGAAGATTTCTTTGCTCGATTTGTATATATTCTAGTGAGTGTTCAAAGTATTCAGATCATTAACTGAAATCAATTGTACCTACTCATTAGCAAAAAGAGTCCTGTTTAGTGGGGTTTTCAATAAGCAGCTAAACTTGAGTCATTTACATCTCCCAACTATTTGAAGATATATGTTGGGCTTTTGCGTTTCCATTTTCAGCACTGTACGTCGTGAAATTAATTGAATTTGTATTTGGTGTAAGACACATACATATAAACACACCGAGCTCAGCTCAAGTGTAGAAACCATCATAGATGCATTTTATATTAAATACAATTATGGTTGTGTGATTTACACACACACACACAGACACACACACACACACACACACACACACACACACACACACACACACACACACCAGCCTGTTTCAAACTGTTGAACTAAAAAAAAAAGTTCAACAGAAGATACTCACAGTAGATACGAAGACCCATGATGGCTAACAGTATGATCCAACACACTGCTATTGGAAGAACAAACCTCGAGCCTGAAAAATAAGCATTCTGTTAAAAACCTTAACAAAGCTTTCGAAAGGTTTCAAACGTTTTAAATTCATATACACAGATACAGTTTAGTCTAAAAACTGTGGTCGCAGGTTGGTTAAAACATTTAATATAAACATTGTGGTGACACGTTATCAGACATAATTCACCGTTGGGATTATTGTGTTGCAACTCGGACCCGTTAGTGAGGGTACCGGGGTTGTTGTCGTTCATGCTAGCTTGTCATACAGAGCAGCACATGTACTTACCTCTTGTTAATTAATGGATAATAAAGTGTGGAAATCCATTCTGAATACACCGCCTCTGACTCCCGTTCATCGGGTCTACACTGGTGACAGGGGCGGACTGGGGGGAAGAAGTGGCCCGGGGATTAATTGACAGACAGGCCCACTTAAGGTGCGGCATGTATCTGCCGGCCGGCGACGAAAGTATGTTACTTAACAAAAAACCCTATGCATTTGCATTTAATGTTATTTTGGACCATTATTCATATAGTAATCACATTACCTGAGCCCTTGAGTTGCCTAGAGCAAAATAGTTACAGCATATATTTAGTGATTTTAATGTTAACAGATCATTGATGCAATAACATTTTGACCCAATTTGCCTGACTTGACGCATGGAATAAAACATGGGCGTAGGAAGCATCCTCAATGTGGGTGAGACAATTTAACAGGGCGTCTGGAAAGGTGGTGGACCTCACCTCCTCTAGGGGGGTCCGGGGGTATCCTCCCCGGGAAGATTTTTTTTTAAATGTTGAAGTTAAATGCGTCAATCTGGTGCACTTTGAGAGCAAAGTTAGGGACTAAATCAATGGATACATCTCTCAACACCCATATGAAACAGAACTGTAAACAGATTTACTTTTTCTTTCAACATTTATTTGAACAGCAAGTGGAAGCAAAAATTGATTGCACCCAAAACAATAAACCTGCTAGTGTCCTGGTGGACGTTAAAAATAAACGCTTGGTTGATGCCTTGACGTTTTCCTCCCTCGTGTTTACACTTGGCAAGGCGGCGTACGACGGGCTGTCGGGCTCGCTGTCGGAGGCGGACACTTTCCTCAGGCTGTTGGCTGAATTTCCAGACCTGACGCTACCCACCTTCTCCGCGCTCACCACCAAGCATGGGGTGGAGCACCACGTCACCACCGAAGGTCCACCAGTCTACGCCAGGGCCCGGCGGTTGAACCCTTCTAAGCTCGCAGTAGCGAGGGCGGAGTTTTCAACCATGGAACGCCTGGGTATCGTCTGCCGGTCTGACAGTGCTTGGGCCTCTCCTCTGCATGTCGTTCCCGTGCGGGGATTACCGCCGCCTCAACGACGCCACAACACCCGACCGCTACCCAGTGCCGCACATTCAAGACTTTTCAGCACATCTGGCCAGTACGCTGGTGTTTTCTAAAGTGGACGGCAGTGATAACGTCGTTTGGACTTTTTGAGTTCCTGCGGATGCCTTTTGGGCTCAAGAACGCCGCTAAAACGTTCCAGCGCCTGATGGATTCGGTGCTGCGGGACCTGCCGTTTGTGTTCGTCTACCTGGACGACATACTCGTCACCAGCGCTTCGGTGGAAGAGCACCTGTCACACCTCCGAGCCCTTTTCACGAGGCTCAGCCAACACGGGTTGATAATCAATCCTGCAAAGTGCCAGTTCGGGGTGTTTGACATTGACTTCCTCGGACACCGCGTCACCAAAGGCGGTGCAGCACCCCTGCCGGCGAAGGTTGAGGCTGTTGCAGCGTTTCCTCGCCCGCTCACAGCCCGGTCGCTCCGTGAGTTCCTGGGGATGGTGACTTTCTACCACCGTTTCATCACCCGGGCCGCCCACATTATGCGGCCGCTGTATGAGGCTTTGAAGGGTACGACCCCCATCCAGGCGATCGACTGGACGGCGGAAGCTGAGGTTGCTTTTACGGAGGTCAAGACCGCGTTGGCTCAGGCGGCCCTGTTGGCGCACCCATCATCCACGGCTCCCATCTCCATTACCACAGACGCATCGGACTACGCCGTTGGTGCGGTGCACGAGCAGTATGTGGAGGGCGCTTGGCAGCCACTCGCCTTTTTCAGCCGTCAGCTGAAGCCCAGGGAACGCAGGTACAGTGCTTTTGACCGAGAACTCCTTGGACTCTGGCTGGCCGTGCGGCACTTCCGTTTTTTGCTGGAAGGCCGTGAATTTACGGCGTTTGTCGACCACAAGCCGCTCACGTTCGCCATGTCAAAAGTGGCAAAGCCTTGGTCTGCACGTCAGCAGCGGCAGCTGTCTTACATCTCGGAGTTCACCACAGACATTAAGCACGTGGCTGGCAAATCGAACCTGGTCGCAGATTGCCTCTCCAGGGTCGTCATCGGGGCCGTCCAGTTGGGCCTGGCCTACCCGCATGGCGACGGAACAGGTCACGGACCCCGGCGTACAGGCCCTGAAGGAGGACATTTTGGGGCTGCGCTTGGAAGACGTGGTTTTCGGTGACGCAGGCGTTACTCTCCTGTGCGACGTCCCCACAGGCCTGCCGCGGCCTGTCGTTCCCGCCAGTTGGAGGCGCTCCGTTTTTGAGGCGGTGCGCAACCTGTTTCACCTCAGCAGTAAGCCTTCCGTGCGCTTGGTGGCCGCGAAGTTCGTCTGGCGGGGACTAAAAAAGGACGTGAGGACTTGGGCTGGTGAGTGTGTGGCTTGTCAGCGTGCTAAGGTGCATCGCCACACGAAAGCCCCTTTGGAACGTTTCATGCTGCCGGAGAGGTTTGACCATGTCAACATCGACCTAGTGAGACAGTCGCCCTCCTCTCAGGGTTTTTCCTACCTCCTCACCATGGTGGACAGGACGACCCGTTGGCCGGAGGCGGTTCCTCTTGTGTCGACGTCGGCGGCTGACATAGCCCGGGCTTTCATTGCGACGTGGGTGTGTCGGTTTGGCACCCCGTCGGACATTTCCTCTGACCGGGTGTTACGGCCCCAGCTCGTTTAGGGTAAAAGGGAAGCAACATGAAACCAGATATTCTTGGTAAGAAGTTGATTTTAATAATAAACTCAAAATAAAAATTATATAAACAAAAATACAGGCTCTTTAAACAAGAAGCTATCTGTTCACAATATAAATACACAAAACGAAGGCCACAGAGTATCACAGTCATAGAACACTATGGGCACTTCAGGCGAAAATAGTGAGGCGTCTCGCACAAGTTCAAACGCCTTCACAAATCACAGAACATACAGAAA